ATGTTTAGTGAAGTCTTTGGGCTCAAGATGCATATATGCTCCAATAACTATCAACTCTCATAATCCATGGAAAAACTACATATATGCATCTTCAAAGCCCACAACTATAGAAATCATTGAATTTACATTCAAGAACTGCCATGGCTTTCAGCCTTTCATCAATATGGATGTGTCTAGAGTTTCAGACTAGCTATTGCGAGTGGACAAATTTTACTGTGGACCGTGGTCTATGTAGCAGCATGCTAGCGTGGACCATGAAGTATGTATCATTTTAATTACACTTTAGTTTCATTTGTCAATATTGTTATGTTTTTTAGCTTCATTTTTCCTCCACACTAGTTTCATTTATAGTGATACTAAAGTATCATTTTAATTCTACTATAGTTTCATTATACATTATTGCTTGAGCTCTATTTTTTGTTTCATTTTTCATATACACTAGTTTCTATGTTATTGTATGACTTTGGTTTTAGTTTCATTTTCCATGCACACTAGTTTTATTATAACAATACTAAAGTATCATTTTAATTATACTACAGTTTCATTTAACAATATAATAATGTACTTTGTTTTTTAGTTTCATCTTTCACACACACTAGTTTCATTATAATAACACTAAAGTATCACTTTAATTCTGCTACAGTTTTATTCGACTATCATGGTCCAGATAACGATGTGTGGACCATGGTCCACTGAATAACAACTGTTGCGAGTGTGAATGGGTCGTTTTGGATGTATTATCTATCATATATATAATTGAAGCTAAGGTTTTGCAGGATTATATTAATTTATGTTTGGACACATTTATGTAAGTGAATATGATGTTTTGGTTTTGGGCTTGTTGATTTTTTGTTCGGATATAGATAAAACTGTTATGTGTGAGTAAGTGTGAATGTGTTGTGGGAGTCTTGGATGGACACACAATTATGGCATGAGTGTGAATGGGCTGTTGGAGTCTTAGTATATAATATAGACACAACCCTGTTTAGGTGCAGGATCATAAATTTTGTTTGGATGCATATATATAACTATGGGTAGATGACATTTTTAGCTGGTATCCGCTATCTGAAAGCTTCGTAGATTATTCTTCCAAAAGGTTAAACCCTAACCTGACAGAGTATTTGGGAGGAATCTTCCTAGATTATTGATATATAATTGATCAGTTCAAACTAAGAATGTCAATAAATCACTTCCACGAAAAATCGAACTTGGAACCTTATTGTTATCAAATCAATTGTCTAATTAACTTGGTTGAGGGGTTGTTCCCATGATTGAGATCGAGCCTCCGTGGAGGCGTTGTTAACTCTTTGTGCTTCATTAGATTGAGAAACTATGTTTGAACAGATACTATATTATAATGTAATAGAGTCAGTAGCATTAAAATAAAAAATAAAAATTACTAACATAATATTTTGTTCATTATTGGTCCACAGCTGTGTGTGGATACACAAATAATATAATTTTAATATATTAAAAATGTACATTATATTCAGGGAAAGTACATTATTCACTGCTGGAAATTATGAAATTTCCGACCATCTGAAAGTGATTCACGGCTAGAAATTATAAAATTTCCGACCACCTGAAAGTGATCTTAAGATCACTTTCAATTGGTCGAAAATTTCATAATTTCCAGCAGTGATTTGAGTATTGAAAATACATTATTTTATATAATGTACATTCAATACACGAATAATGTACTTTTAATATATTAAAAATGTATTTTTTATTATGGTCCACGCAATAATTTACCGGTCACATCTAAATTATGAAACGGTCCGGGCATTAAACTTTGTTAAAGTAATGTCCACCTTAGGTACCATTATTGGTGTGATAATAATTCAACTGTGAATTAAACACTGAAAGAGTGATCATTTTTATTAGGGCTGTATTATATTAGATAGTTCATTAGATGGAATAATTCGTCCCCGTGTCGCTATGATATTTATGAAAAAATCTATTACTATTTTTTAAATGTACGTTTTGAGTGAAGCTCGCTAACATATATATTGAAATCAGTGTTATGCAGTAGATGCCTCGTGTGGCACGCGCAATGTGAATCAGAAAACCCTTTCAACACCAATATAAAAAAAAAAGCATGGAAGAAAAGCATACACTTTAGTTCCTTTACATTTGGCACATTGGCAAATACAGAAAAAGAAGGGATGCTAGTCCATTCTTTACTGTCCGACTTGAAAATAAAACTCTTAACCAGTATTACCATATTTGCAGACCGTTTAAAATAATATAAAAAACAAACATTAGTGAATTTATTTGCTATTTCTTTGAGGTTCTGAATGATAAATTAATATTGTAGTTAATTCAATCAATTCTCCTTTTGAGTACATGCAGCCTTATCTCTCACAAGTCTTTATGTACTCCACAAAAACTTCTGTTGACGTGTGAAATTGGGGCAGATTCAGAAACTTTTTTAGTTGGGGCAAAAGAAAAAAAAATAAAATGAAACATTTAGAGGGCGAGTTATAAATTAATCTTAATTAGAATACATTAAAACGCGATAAAAAAAATATTCAAAACAAGTCAATTAGAATTAAAAATTAATCTCATAAACCCAATAGGATAATTTAAGTGGCAAATGAGTTTTTTTTGTGGGAAAAATTTTGTGATAACCCGGGTACTCCCGTAAGTGCTGATTCCCTTTAGGCCAGCTCTCGTGCTTCTTGAAGCGAATGGAGAAAGACCCGAATCACCTCATGATTTAAAAAAATAAAATAATAATAATACAGGAGTCCAGGACACTTCATAGTGGATCCGCCCCTGCGTGTGAATGCAAGAAAAGGGTGAACATGCACAGGTTGGGGCATGGGGCATGGTACCTTCACTCTTCCATCTTTTTCTTTTTATAAAAAGAGGATAAAAAAAAAAAAAAAGAGTAGACTCTGATAAAATTTGCCTAAAAGATGATAGTGTACCTTACTAAAGATGCTCTAAAAGAAATTTCCAAAAGAAAATCAGTTGTCAGTCCAATAAATGAACTAAACTGTATCAGTCCAGACTCTTTTCTTTCCCGCAGCTGAAATGTCAATTCAAACCTGCCTCCCTGCCACCACTTTTTTTTTTTTTTTTTTTTTTTTTTGGGATGAATAAAAAATTCGATATAAGTAAGGAGTAAAATACAAAATAGAAATTAAAAGGAATAAAGGTCAAATAGGCTATTGAACTGACCACGAAAATGTACTAAGTCACTGAACTTAAAAAAAATTTATAATTGAGTTCCTAAACTAACCAATTTTATTCAATTTATCTATTTTTCAGATTTTTCATGTTGTTAATAGGTTACCTCTCCACCTAGGATACATATGTGGCATTTAAAAAGAGTAAATATCTAAAATGGTCCATCGACTATAGCTAAATTCACAAATTGGTCATCGACTTTCAATTTCAACCAATTAAGTCCTTAACTTTGTAATTTTGACACAATTTGGTCCTCCATCTATTTGACCATTTGTTGACCGTGACCGACGATCTCCAGAAGAACCTTCAGCTCTCGTCGGACCACATGGAGGCCTCCAGGATGACGTTGCACCGATTTAGAAACACGTCGTCTTCTTCGCTCTAGTACGAACTCAACTACATTGAATCCAAAGGGAGGATGAAGAAAGGTGACCGGATTTGGTAGATTGCTTTCGGCAGTGGATTCAAATGTAACAGTGCGGTCTGGAAATGCAACCAGAACCTTAAAAACCCGACGATGGACCATGAAATTACATATATATCCTAAAAAATCACAGTCAACAAACGGTCAAATAGACAGAGGACCAAATTGTGTTAAAATTGCAAAGTTAAGGACTTAATTGGTTGAAATTAAAAGTCGAGGACCAATTTGTGAATTTAGCTATAGCCGAAGGACCATTTTGGGTATTTACTCCATTTAAAAATAATAATTTATTTAAAAAATGTCACATATGCATCCTAGGTGGAGAGGTAACATGTTACCAACATGAAAAACTTGAAAATGGACAAATTGAATGAAATTGGTTAGTTTAAGGACCCGCTTGTAATTTTTTAACTTCAGTAACCTAATTGCATTATCGTGTGCAGTTCAATTATTTGACCATTATTCCAAATTTAAAATACATGCATATAATATTATTCAAAATTTAAACTTTAAAGTTAAAATTTCTAACAAAGAATAGTAGGATAGGGTTATTCATTATTATGTTTGGCGAACTCTACTTTAGCAAGGGGGGGGGGGGGGGGGGGGGGGGGGGAGAGCCTAGAGGAGTTATTGAGTGTGAATTATGTGAGGTAGACAATAGAAATTATATTTGGTTCCAAAAAAAAAAAAAATAGAAATTATACATGCATCATGATGCCACACTTTAATGATATTCACAAACACCATAATTGTGTGCCAGGCCACCTGCCTTGTCATACAAATTGCAGTAAGATGTACTAACTCTAATTAAATGCCCATTTATTTGGTAATCAATGAGTTTATCAACCCAAAAGTTAATAATATGAGAGGTAAATTATACTAATAAGATTAAGAGTATGATTTAATTAATTACTGTAAGGTTTTATCATCACTAAAAAACAATTTAATGTATAAATCATAATAAAATTCCTATAACGTTTCGAGTCCCATCAATGATTATTAGAAAAGTAAAAAATATCAAGTTAGGAAGAAAATTAAAGAAAATGGAGTCCCACAGTCTGGTAGATATGGTCAAATGCCAGTGGGCACAATAGATTTGTCCATATCAATTTACATTGGGCATAATCTCTATACTCGGCTGTTGAGTAATAACATTGGTACCTTATCTCAAATAAGACCTACTGAACCAGTGATCTAAGTCCGTGTGGACAAAGTCCATAAATGCTATTCAAAGATATACCTAGTATATGATATACTTTGGATGAAGTTTGATTATCTATGTTTACATGACAAACTTATAATATTATGATTACCAAACCAATTATCGACCAATTAGGCTGGCTACCAAGTTTTCCTTCTTCCTCTATATATAAAAGGGGAATGAAATCTGTTCCTACACCATCTACCAAAACCCTTCTCTTCACAACTCTGATCTCTCCTTCTTCAACCAAAAAACAATGGCCATTCCCGCCGTTTCCGTGGCGCTGTCGAAGTTCAACGACGCTCTTTCCGAAACTCAGTGCGGAGCCGACGAACACGTCGAGGAGCTGGTGACGGAGCTAACATGGATGCAGTGTTTCCTGGTCGACGGCGAGAAAACGGCGCAAGGCCGGGTGAGAACCGACATCTGGTCCTCCGCCATCGAGCGCCTCGCCGTGTGCGCTCAAGAACTAAACTACGGCTACGGCGGCGGCCACTCTAACAAGTCCAGGGACTTCGCCAACCTCAACGCCCGTTTCGCCAGCCTCCGGGCAAAAATCCAACCTTTCCTCACTTGTCAAGCTCCCTCATCGGGTTCTGCAAACACCCCCCCAGGTTCATAACTTATCCATCTTGATTTCTTTAAGTTTGGGCATGTAGCTAATTAGCTAATTAACATGATAAAGTGTAAATGTGTGGCAGATTTTGGACCTGGGATTCAAATTCCTAAAGAAATACTGGTCGGAGCATGGGGAGGTCCCGGTGGAAATAAATGGGATTTCAAGCCTAAAGGGCTCATCAAACAGATAACTATTATTCATGGTACCGTCATCGACTCCATAACTTTCACCGGCGTGAGCGCCGACGGCCGGGTGGATTCTCCGATCAAATTAGGTGGCCCCGGTGGCAGTAAAACCTTCCAGGTTAATATATTTCAATTCACTGGAAATGATGAAATTTCCGACCACCTGAAAATAATCTTAAATCAATTCAAAAACAAAAAGTAGTCGGAAATAGCATCATTTTCAGGTGGTCGGAAATTTCATAATTTCCAGTAGTGTCATAGTGCATATTGGATAAAACCTGTCTTGTGACGTTAACCACAAAAGACCTTAGTTTCTTCCATTTATATATATACACTTGTTGTTATTACAGGTGAATATCAACGGTGCATCGGAGTACCTGAGGGGTGTGAGTGGAACATATGGGAATCACCATGGCCTGACGGTTATAAGGTCGATCAAGTTCGAAACCAATGTGACTACACATGGACCATACGGGTCTACCGACGGGACGCCGTTCTCGTTTGTGGTGCAGGACGGCAAGATTGTCGGATTCCACGGCCGTGCCGGCGACTTTGTTGATGCTATTGGTGTTTATGTCACATCTATATAAGTGCATCGTCTCTCATGCAATAATGTTGTCTAGTTTGGTCCATTGGAAATCCTTAGAGTTGTGTGTTTGGTTTTCCAAATGGTTTGAATAACTGTTAGTTGTGTTGTTGACCTTGCTTGTTTCATGGTTCTTGGAGTGAGCAGATGTTGAATAATAAATTATCTGGCGACTAAGTGTGTGGAACATGAGGTGAAATCACGAGTTTGATTATTATTAATACTTCACGAAATTACACTTGTCTATAAGTTCAAACAGTTATTTTACACGATGAACACTCCCCATTTAAAAGGGAAATTTTCTACGATTAATGAATAGGTAATGAATATACATGTTATTATAATGAACTTAAGTCCATGATACAATATGGAATGTTTTCCTATCACAAAATATTTGTGGAATTACAATCTCAAATTTTCTCCGTGAAGTAAGCGGATCGGAGGCGGTGTCCGATCGTCTTCCCATGCCGCCATCTTCACCGCAGATAGCGTTCGCCTTTATTGTCTTCTCTTTCATTCTCCGCATTCCCCACCAGTTACGCCTTGTCCCACCCCTCCATTTCCAGTGTTACCGGTTGTTACTCCCTTATTTTCGCATTGTTGTTTCCCTTTGCTTTGTTTTACTGGTTTAATTTTGTTTGCAGTTTCTGTTTTTCATCTCGTTGTTTTGACGAGTTTATTTCTCTAGTTTACTTGGCGAGTTCTTTTTCATAAAGCGTGAAACGACAAAACTGGTCATGGCGTATGTGAATCTCATCCTGTGTGACAAACATGACAATGAAAAAGAGACTCATCTGAACTATGATATGCAGCTCAGCACAATGGAGATATTGTCAGGATAACAGAATGAAAATAGGTACTCATCAGGTGGTGTGCAAGACTATTCAACCAGTGTCAGTCTTGGGTACGTTTGACCAAATCATTAAAAAAGCTTTAAGTTCCTCCAAAGAATTGAAGCTTCAAATTTGTAAAACAGTCTGCGAATCAAATTTTCTGTAGCATTGCTAGGGAAGTTGTTTCTATGTCTGACTGTAAGGAATGTTTGATCATTCCATCGATCTTTATAGTAAACGTTTCAGCATATTATTAATGAATTAGCTTCTTTATTTTTTTAAAAAAAAAATAACTGACAACCTAACAGGGTAGTTCAAGTGGCAAATGAGCTCTCTTGTAGGAGAGAATTTCGGAATAACTCGATTTTGATTTTCACAAGTGACGATTCCCTTTGAGCCAGCTCACATAACTAATAGCATCAAGGAGAGCCCATAAACAACCATTGACATAAAATAAGCTACCCAGCCAGCCCATATATGAAACTAACACTGCTAGCTTGTTTATTAAAATCTTTGGGCTCAAGGTGCATGTATGCTCCACTAACTATCAACTCTCATCCATGGAAAAACTTCAAATATATATGCATCTGCAGAACTATATATAGAAACCATTAAATTAAATTTACATCTAAGGACTGCCATGCATGGCTTTCATCAACATGGATGTGTCTAGAGTTTCAGACTATTGTGAATGTGAATGGGTTTATTGGACTATTATAATTGAAACTAGGCAAGGTTTTGCAGGATTATATTATTGTTTTTTTATTGGATTATATTACTTGAGTTATTGTCAAATGCTCCCTTTGTTTATATTGAACATAACATATATAAATAATAAATGTATAGTTTCATTTGCTATTTAAACTTTTAGTTAAGATATAATATATCTTTTAGTTTGGTACGTATTAGAACAAAGTATAAACAAGAAGTAAGCAAAAGATATTTACACATAAAGGGGCATGTAAACTTAGAATTATCCTTCAATTGTTTCTGATATGATCTTAATTCTTTTATAATACTCAAATTTGAAGCAGTATTTAATAGAGATTAGGCTCATTCCACTTGGACCAGGCCACAAATTGATGATAAACAAAATTTATTTATACTAATTAAGCCGAATCCAATGTCCTGTCATCAAAACATGATATTAACTGCTACGCAAATATATAAAAATAAATTAAATTAAAGTTGCACATTCATTATTGGTTATTCCACCATGCCAAAAGCACTTATATGCTGTGCACTTGAGTGAAGCAACACTTATTTTCAGGATTACATTAATTTCTGTTTGGACACATTTATATATGTATGAATGTGCCAGTGAGTGTGAATGTGTTGTGGGAGTCTTGGATGGTCGGATGGACACACAATTATGACATGAGTACGTGTGAATTGGAGTCTAGTATATATATATGGGAAGTTCTATTTGCACCCACCTATTTAATAGGTCAAATAGATGGTGCAAATACCAAAGTAGGTGGTGCAAATAAATGTAGTCAAAGTAGGTGGTAACATTTATTATTTATTATTTTTTAACAATAAACATTAAAAAAAAAATGATCGACTTTTTTTTTTTTTTTTTTTAATTATTTGTGTAATTATTTTTAAAATTTTTATTTTCAATACATATGTTTTTAAATTTTATTTTCAATACTTGTTTTTTTTGTTCAATATAATTTTTTTAACTTTCTATTTTCAATACTTGTTTTTGTTTATGGTTTAATTTTTAAATTCAAAATAATGATTAATTTTGTTATTTTAATATTTTTTATAACTTAAATTTGTTGTATTCATTATTTTATCTTTTTTTATAGAGATATAATAAATAAAATTTGAATCGCTAAAAATTGTAAAAATATATTAACTTCACAATAAAAATAAAATAAAAAATAAATTCATTCAATTTCAATCTAATATAACATTTTCCCGAGTATAATTAGAGCGTACATGCTCATTGTAACTTTCAATCCTATTCATATATGGAGTCATCCATGCATTTGCACAATCATATCTAAAATAAGCCCATTGTGGAGCAATTGTAGGCATTGGGTACCCTCCTGTCAATGTTACCTTGACATAATGGTTATTATTAACATAACCAAGGGTTATTGCTACATGCTCGTACCAAGGTGGTGGGCTAGATCGAAGTGGTAAATATGTTGTACTGCCGGCCATACTCAAAACATGTAGTATCACATTGTATCGGGAAGCAATTAGTACACCCATCTCCGGCATAGTCATCCAGTGCTCAACTGGTGCACACCGATCTTGTGCAAAAAAATTCAACATGTTATAGGCATTATACCATCCTTGAGTTCCAAACATATCGGTATATTCCATTGTGTGAGACTCTAGTTCTTCGATTAAATTGGATCGAATTTTGAACCATTCGTCCTCCTTAAAACCGAGACAGAGAGCTACGGCTCGAAATCCACAGTTTCCGTCAGATTTCACATCTTGCACTTGCATGATAAAAGGATGGAATATAACCGGAAGTTGAAGCATATATGGATGGTAAAAGTGTCTATCACCTGAAGTTGGTGCAGCTGAACAACTATTCCGAGCTTGTTCTTGAAATTGAATATTATTTGGCTCGGCTTTAGTTTTTCTGAGAGATAGAGTTCTTATGAAAGATTTGTTTTTTGAAGTGGGACGCCCACGAACATTTATTTGCACGGGTGGCTCACGGATCGAAGTTGTAGATGGCGCGATCAACTCCCTCAACTTTCTCAATATGTTGAATTTACCAGTTCTTGATTGTTTCTTGAACTGATCCTTAAACATATGAAGCTCATGCTCAACACCAAAATCTTCATTGGTTAGAGAGATGGAAGATGATAAGTCGAGCTTCCTCCAAAAGATATCAATCGAATCAAGTGGGATAGGCTTACCACAGTTAAATTCCGGATGATGGATAATGCAGGTAAAACTCAAATGCAAGTTGTTATGTCTTTTTTACATAACAATGGTTTTTGTGATGGAAACATTATCCGGATTTTGCATCTTCACCGACGTTAAAATATCTCGTGGTTTCACATGCATCGCTGACAAATTTTCCACCAATTCGACTTCATTTCCTGATAATCGCCTTGCATAAGGGTGACCTTCAAGGTGCAATGCAGGCTCATGATTATGGACTCCGCATATTACCCTAACCCTCCAGCAACCATCAACACGTATGTATTTCCCCTCCAATTGGAATGGACAATCAATTTTTCTTGTACCCGTGTTTTTAGATGAGATTTTTTTTGGCACGTAAGTACCACCACGGTCACACTGAAATATAACTGTAGGACTTTTATTCCGGGACCTTTTAATCACAATAACATAACCGAGATCCCGACCTCTACTTTGAACCCATTCAATTAAATCTTCGCGAGACATGAATGCCTAATAAAAAAATTATTTGTATCAATAATAAAAATACCTAATTAATTAATTATAATCATAAGTATACGTACTAATTAATAATCATAATAATAATTACATGCATGTATACCAACAAATTAAAAAAAAACAAACAAACAAAAACAAAAACAGAAATTAAGTATACGTACTAATTAATAATAATAATAATAATAATAATAATAATAATAATATTAATAATTACATGCTTACAATAATAATAAGTATGCGTATGAATTTTGTTTACCGTTTCTGTAGACAATTCGCATGCAACCTCGAGATTTAGGTTCACTTGATCATCATCTTTAGTTCTATTGTCATCATAAATTTCGATTGCATTTTCGTCCTGAACAAACAAACAAATAACAACTCTTAATATATAAAGACAAAATAATATATTCAATATTGATATATTAAAGCAATGAATTTCTAATCAAAAATAAATATACATATCTAAATTTCTAAATAATATATAAAAGCAATGAATATATAAATAATACGTAATATTCAATTTACTAAGTTCACACACACACACATATATCTATATATATATATATATATATATATATATATATATATATATATATATATATGAAATTAATGAACATATATGAAAGCAATGAACTTAAATTTCTAAATAATATATGAAAGCAATGAACTTAAATTTTTAAATAATATATAAAAGCAATGAACAAATATACATAAGTTCAATTGTAACATTTCAGTAACAATTCAAATAAAAAAAAAATTAAAATACCTCGTAATGTTGTTGATTTTGATTTGGACCATTGTAACTAAGAAATTGGCTTTGATTTTGATCGTTGTAGCTAAACAAATTATCTATCCAACCGTCCATCACACACACACGAATTTTGATTTTGATTTTGATTGTATGACATGTACATCACACACACACACCACATATATATAGAGTCATTTAAGTCTTTTGGATTCCTTGCCATTCATTCTACACGTAATTTCATTTCACTAACAACAATATTAACTAAAAAATATGAATTGAAATTGTAAATTTACAAAATATATGTATTAAAATTATCAAGTTCAAAAAACTATCTATTGAAATCATAAATTTAAAATAAACATATATCGAAAAACAAAAAAAATGGACCAGGAAGGCAAGGAGGCAGAAAAAAAAAAAAAATGGCTGCTGGCTGCTCCGTTTTTTTTTTTTTTTTTTTTTTTTTTTTAAATTACATTTTGACCTCATAATTGTAAATTTAATAGGGTGGTGCAAATAGCATTTTGACCACCCATTAGGCTATTTGCACCACCCATATTTACTACCTTTTTACATTTTCAAAGTGCTTTATACCTCATTTTAGTCAATGGGTGGTGCAAATAGCAACACCCATATATATATAGACACAACCTGCTTAGCTGCAGGATCATAAATTTTGTTTGGATGCACATATATAACTATGGGTAGATGACATTTTTAGCTCACATCGGTTATCTGAAAGAATCCTAGATTACTCATATATAGCTGATCAGTTCAAATTGAGAAGACTAAGATTGTTCTTATAAAAAATTGAATTTAAAACCTTGTTGTTATCAAATCAATTGTCTAACTAAGTAACTAACTTGATTGGGGGTTATCCGATAACATTTTTAGTCTTAGTTGTAACTGGGGTGTAGATTTAGATTTTCAATTCAATTATTTGATCTTTAGGTTTAGTTTCTCAATTATTATCAAATAGTGGATTTTCGTCTCTCAATGATTAAATCAAGAGACCAAATCTACCACCAATATGTCACTTTATTAATATCTAAAGGATTAAATTAAATCTGTATTGCAAATAACTGAGGGAGTAATAAATTTATTTAATGGCCATAACGGATGGACTAAAAGTGTCATACTTAAGGTGCGTCGTGTTAATATTTAAGGTGTACCATTTTAATTTAATGTGCGTTTTTTGTTGAAACTTAAAGTGTGCGTTGTTTCAAAGTTTAAAATGTGTCTTTAACACTTAAAGTGTGCCATTTTAATATTTAAGGTACGTCAGTTATCCACTTAAAGGTGCATAAGTTCTACACTTAAGGTGTGTCATTTTAAAAACGAAAAGTACGCGATGTTAAAACTTAAGGTACACCATTTTAACACTTAATAAAGTGTGTCTTTGTAACACTTAAGATGCGCCATTTACCCATTTAACATAATGTAAAAAGCAAACATTAATAAATTGATTTGTTATTTCTTTAACCTCCTAAATGATAAATTAGTATTGTACTTAATTCAATCAATTCTCCTTTTGACTACATGCATGCAGCCTTATCTCCCACAGCCTTTCTGAACTCCACAGAAATTTTTGTTGACGTGTGAATGCAAGAAAAGGGAGAACATGCACAGGTTGGCGCATGGTACCTTCACTCTTCCATGTTTTTCTTTTTATATATAAAAAAAAAGGACAGTAAAAATGAAGAAGAAGAATAAACTCTGATAAAGTTGCCTAAAAGATGATAATTAGCTCCTTGACTTGGTTAAAAAATCAATATAAGTGATTGGTTAATTAGTTTTTTTAATTCCAAAATATTAAAATTCAAAAAGCCACTCAAAGCAACTTTTTCAATTAGCTTTTTGAGAAAAGAAATTATACAAAACAGCTATCTGCTACAATCTAATTTACCAATTCAAAGACCTTTCTACAATAAGCTAATGTTATTAACTAGTTATACACTCTAATGAACTCAATCAGTTAACAGTCATTTACTAAATAGGGTCAATTGTGTTTGGTGAACTCTACTTTAGCATGGGGGTGGATTGGGAGAATGGGAGGGGGGGGGGGGCGGGGGGTGGGGGTTTGAGCCGGGAGGAGTTATTGAATGTGAGGTAGACAATAGAAAATATACATTCTTTCTAAAGAGGTTGAATTTCACACCACAAGGGCCCCACGTCCCGTTCTGACAAAACATCTAGGAAAATGTAAATCATGGTAACTCAGCTGAACATAGAGGCTAGACTTTTGCTTACTAGGTGAATAGAAATTATTCATGCATGCATGAATGCCACACTTTAATAATGATATTCACAAACACCATCACCTGCCTTGTCATACAAATTTTAGAAAGATGTACTAACTCTAATTAATTGCCGATTTATTTGGTAATCAATGAGTTTATATGAACCCAAAAATTAATAATATGAGAGGTAAATTGCACTCGTAAAATTTTATGTAATGAATTTGTCAAGAGCATGATTTAATTAGTACAAGTTTTTATCGTCACTCAAAAACAATTTAATGTATTAATCATAATAAAATTCCTACCACTCTTCGAGTCCCACCAATTATAATTGGAAAAGTTGACAATTTCAAATTAGGAAGAAAAATGAAAATTGAATTAAATACAATAGAGTAAATTTTCCTTTTTATTTGATTGACAGGAAAATCCACAAATGCTATTTAAAGATATTGTTCCAGAAAGGTTGAATCCACATTCTCCAACCCGAAGGCCTTCACGCTTCGGTCCAATAGAACATATGGGAGGATGTAAATCATGGTAATTCAACTTATCGAACACAGAGACTAACCTTTGCTTATTGCACACAAAGAGCATCGGGTCATTGTTCCCAAATTTATTCAAAGATGAGCTTTGGATGAAGTTTGATTATCTATATCTGCATGATAAACTTGTAATATTGTGATTACCAATAACTATCGACCAATTAAAACCCAAGTTTTCCTTCTTCCTCTATAAAAGGGGAATGAAATCTATTCCTACACCATCTACATACCAAAATCATTCTCCTCTTCACAACTCTGATCTCTCCTTCTTCCCTTTTGCTTATATTACCAACCAAAAAACAATGGCCATTCCCGCCGTTTCCGTGGCGCTGTCGAAGTTCAACGACGCCCTTTCCGAAACTCAGTGCGGAGCCGACGAACACGTCGAGGAGCTGGTGACTGAGCTAACATGGATGCAGTGTTTCCTGGTCGACGGCGAGAAAACGGCGCAAGGCCGGGTGAGAACCGACATCTGGTCCTCCGCCATCGAGCGCCTCGCCGTGTGCGCTCAAGAACTAAACTACGGCGGCGGCGGCGGCCACTCTAACAAGTCCAGGGACTTCGCCAACCTCAACGCCCGTTTCGCCAGCCTCCGGGCAAAAATCCAACCTTTCCTCACTTGTCAAGCTCCCTCATCGGATTCTGCAAACACCACCCCGGCCCCAGGTTCATAATTTATCCATCTTGATTTCTTTAAGTTTGGGCAAGCATCACTACTGGAAATTATGAAATTTCTGACCACCTGAAAGTGATCTTAAATCAAGTCGAAAGCTTTGTTCCGACCACTTTTAGTGTCGGGAAAAACCTCTGTTGCTATTTTCGACCACTTTTTGCTTTCAACTTGATTTACTGTTGTGTTTTGGGAGTGTTTCGGATATAGTATTTAATGGAGGGTTATTTGTTTAATTTCTGTGACGTGTGTATAGACACACTGCCTTAAAAACTAATTCCGGAGACCGTGCGAGTCTTTTATATCCGGGGCTTTCCACCAACAAACACAGAGACAGAGGATACTCACGTATAGGTTGCACAGAGTATATGTATTAGTGCAGTTGCTGAATGCATTTGCGGTATGGGAAGGCTGGGTATTTATACTAGTTTATAATAACTGCCCAGCCTTCCCATACCGCAAATGCATTCAGCAACTGCGCTAATACGTATACTCTGTGCAACCTATACGTGAGTATCCTCTGTGTTTGCTGGTCGAAAGCCCCGGATATAAAAGACTCGCACGGTCTCCGGAATTAGCTTTTAAGGCAGTGTGTCTATACACACGTCACAGAAATTAAACAAATAACCCTCCATTAAATACTATATCCGAAACACTCCCAAAACACAACAGATTTAAGATGGTGGTCAGAAATTCCATAATTTCCAGTAGTGCATGTAGCTAATTAACATGCTAAAGTGTAAATGTATTGTGGTAGATTTTGGATCTGGAATTCAAATTCCTAAAGAAATACTGGTTGGAGCTTGGGGAGGTCCCGGTGGAAGTAAATGGGATTTCAAGCCTAAAGGGCTCATCAAACAGATAACTATTATTCATGGTACGGTCATCGACTCCATAACTTTCACCGGCGTGAGCGCCGACGGCCGGGTGGAGGCTCCGATCAAATTAGGAGGCCCCGGTGGCAGTAAAACCATCCAGGTTAATACATTTTCAATTCATAATGTGTACTAGGTAAAACCTGTCTTTATGATAATCTTAGTCACAAAAGATTATAAGGAGGTAAACAGCTTAATTAGTTTCTTCCATTTATATATATACACTTGTTATTATAGGTGAATATCAACGGTCCATCAGAGTACTTGAGGGGTGTGAGTGGAACATATGGGAATTACCATGGCCTGACGGTTTTAAGGTCGATCAAGTTCGAGACCAATGTGACTACACGTGGACCACATGGGACTAACGACGGGACGCCGTTCTCGTTTGCGGTGCAGGACGGCAAGATTGTTGGATTCCATGGCCGTGCCGGCGACTATGTTGATGCTATTGGTGTTTATGTCACATCTATATAAGTGCATCGTCTCTCCTGCAATAATGTTGTCTAGCTTTGTCCATTGGAAATCATTAGAGTTGTGTGTTGGGTTTCCAAATGGTTTGAATAACTGTTGTGTTGTTGACCTTGATTGTTTCAAGGTTCTGGAGTGAGCAGATGTTGAATAATAAATTATATGGCGAGTAAGTGTGTGGAGCATTTGGTGAAATCACCAGTTTGATTCTTATTAATACTTCACAAAATTACACTTGTCTATAAGTTTAAATAGTTATTTTAATTTACATGATGGACAGTTGGACACTCCCCTTTTATAAGGGAAAAAAATTGGGGACCACTTTTTACAATTACGGAGTGTTTGGTTGGAGTGAGAGAATTAAGTGGGAAATGAATTGCAATTCAATGGTAGAAGAATAATGTGGGATTAAAGTGGTAATTTAAAATTTCGTGTTTGATTTGCATGAATAGAATTACTAGGAATTTTAATTCCAAGGTATATATGAGAATTGAAATGGAATAAATAGTATAAAGTCCAAAATGTCCATACTTAATAATAATAATAATAATAATAATATATTTTTTCTTCCTAAAATCCATGGAATTGAAAGGGGGACATGTGATTATAATTCCTTGAAAATGAGGGAATTTTAATTCCACGGAATTGCAATTTTCTCCAACCAATTAAACAAATGAATTTGATTGCCTTTGGAATTATGTAGAGGTGGAAATGGAGTTGTAATTCCCTCCGTAGACGGAGCTAAAGGGGAAGGGGGGTGGGGGGGGGGGTATGTATATATGTATATATAGTACAAGTTTTAGTATTAGTATAAAAAAACATATAAATGTTAATAAGAAGTGTCATAGATTAGTTGGCAAAACATATGTTTGGTTATAGTGAAGGTCCAAAGTTTGAATCCTTTGTTGGTATTAACACAATTTTACAGTTTCTCTTGGCTTCAACACAATCACATTGTTAATAACTTTTTTAATATTTAATAAAATACACACACACAAAAATTATTTTATCAAATTAATTATGTTTCATATTTTGTTATGAATATTTTTAATAAAATTTCGATGTGTTTTATTTTTCGCCCATATCTAACAATATTTATACCTATTGATGGGGTGTGAACCCCATGGGCTCGGGGCCCAGGAAGAAAAGAGATCAAAGCCCAGAAGAAGAAGAGAAGCCCAAGAGGAAAATGGAGTGAGCCCAAAAGAGATACGAGCCAAACCGAGGAGTAGGCTCGACCCGGGAGTCGGCGCGAGTGTGGGATCGGCACGGGTAGAAGGTCGACCTAAAACTAGCCGTTAGCCCCTATTAAACTCCTAATTATCTACCTTAAAGTCCTATTAAAGCACATATTTACTTACCTCATCATAACCTACCATTTGTTACCCCATTTACTACCCATAAAGCCTACTAATGACTCCCCAACGGACACTTTTGGAGTAGCTAGCTATAAAAAGGAGAAGAAGAGTACAAGGAGGGGCCCGAGATTCATCCATACACACATGGAGGACTCTCCTAAGCACTCTTCCTACACACTAGAAGAAGACCACATGTCACTCTTCCACAAAAACTCTCTCAAGAAGACTCCAAACACTTATCTACACACATGAGAAGACTCATCACTCTTCCAAGGGGAGAAGACTCCGTCATCCCTCATCTCAACAAGAAGGCATCATCATACACACTCTTTTCAACAAAGAAGATCAAGAAGAATACTCCCTCCCTATATACAAAGTATATCTCTCTCCCTACACAATATTTCCATATTACATGTACAAAATAGCTTTACAATATGTACGAAGACACCTACAAAATACATAGTGGAGTTAGGCTTGGCACTGCCCAAAAAGGCCCGTGGTTTTCCTTTCGGTTTCCACGTACAAAAAGCATTGAGTTATATTTGTTCTACTTATTTTTCTGTAAGCCGCATGTGAAAGGTGAATCCACCGACTAAGGTTGTGTTGGACCTCCCTGGGCCCAAAAATCCTAAAACCAACACCTATATTTCTTGGGTAATGTGTGTGTATATATATATATATATATATATATATATATATATATATATTTTTTTTTTTTTTAAATTATCTCTTTTATTTTAATGTTTCGTTTTCGCTTGAAAAAATTGTTGGATCTGTCCCTACTTCTTCGCCCCCTCTCAACAAAATTCCTGACTCCGTCCCTGATTCCCTCCAAACAAACGGCCCGTTAATGAATATGCAATGAATCTACATTTTTATTATAATGAACTTAAGTCCATGATACAATATGGAACGTTTTTCTATCACAAAATATTTGTACAATTACAACCAATTAACTATACTGATATGATTACTACTTCTCAACTACCTTGTACTGTGATGCGTCTCGGTTACCATTCTAAATGGGTAGTCATAAATTCGAACTTCAATGGTGGGGATCGGACTTAGATTCTGTGTTGAAAATGTTTGAAAAAGTATATTACCTTATTAAAGAGTAATGTGACTCATTGAAGAAGAATATGTAACTTGAGGACTTGTACTGGTAAATCCCGCCTTATCACCATAATCGGTAAATGACTACGAAAACATAAACGAACATAGGTAGTCAATAACTAACCTGCTATCAGTTGAATACAAAATTTATAAGATGAGAAGTTGAATGAAGCTCACATAACAGCATCAAGGAGAGCCCATAAAATCAAACAATCAATGAAGAACAAGTTACCCAGCCAGCCCATATATGAAACTAACACTGCTAGCTTGTTTATTGAAATCTTTGGGCTCAAGATGCATGTTCCAGTAACTATCAACTCTCATCCATGGAAAAACTTCATATATGCATCTGCAAAGCCCACACCTATAGAAATGGCAAATTATGCTATGGAACCGTGTCTACCTTGCAAGGTGGACACGCTTCCAAAACTGTTCATAATTATGAATATGTAGTTCAAAAATTATGAACATAGAGTTGTGAAAATTAGAAACAAAAACAGAAAACTTGTTTATTAACACAATTTTTCATTTTGAAAACATGAAATAAATCCTTTAAAAAAAAGAAAAAAAAAGAAAACATGAAATAATTTTTCATAAATTATTAAAAACTATTTTTAAATGAAAAATATAATCATCTATCCTCTATTTAGCTATATGTCACTATAGCTACATTCTCACCATTATCTACTTACATATTTATTCATTACTATGATTACATTCATTATCATCTTCTTTTACTTATCACTGGAGCCGTCAAAACGGGGTTAGCTCGTCTCGCCTCGGCAAAAAGGCAGGTCGGGCTTTGAATTTTATGCCCCGTATTTTGGCAGGCTGGGCTTAGCGGGCCGGGACTATAATTATTTAAATTATAATATAATAAAACTATAATATTTAAAATATATAATTTGACTAAATCTTTATAAAATAATTAAGTTAATTTGACAAATAACATAGCCTAAATTAATTTAATTAATTGATGTACATACTTAAATAACTTAATTAAAATGTGGTCCAATAGTTTATTTAATTCTGTCAAAATTTCCTTGTCAACAGAATATAGGGTTCATAGATATTTGTCCAACTAATTTTTTTCACGTGAAAAAAATGATATAGTACATTCTTAAGGATCATGTACTCTTCCAGCAAGGGATAAGGTTTATCCTTCCACGCCATGACTCTAGCTTCAAAATTAAATCAACCAAGTTCTAAAATGAAATATTATTCTAATTTGAATTGCTCAGTACATTCAATGCCCTTGTATATATGTAGCTACAAATTAAATGATACAATATTTAGGTGGCCTTTGAACATTTAAAAGAAATAAAAAATGAGAAAAAATTTCATAATTCATAATGCATTAAATTTAGAACCTAATTAAATATATATACTTGTCCAAAAAAGATGAAATTTCCTAGCTCCAAGACCTTACACCCATGCTCGACATGATAGTGCGTGGAGATGTAAATCACGCTGTCTCAATGGCCCATTAAGTGGGAGGACCAGTATCTGGTGCCTATAATTGGAATCAAAACCCTTTAGTAATCACAGAATTTATTAACATTTTACTTTTCTACTTTTAAACAATGGAATCAAATATAAGGGAGAAAAAAATACATGAAAAAATAAAAATGTCATTGCCCATGTATTAAATAAAAATGTCATTGCCCATTGTTGTGATGCAAATGATCTTGTCCCTTCCAAGAAGAGTGGTCCAAGAAACCTACTTTCCACGTGCAAAAATTACACACCGTGTATTATATTGGCCGAAAATTTATGAAACCTGTCCTCGTACGTAAATAAAAAAAAAATGTTTTTTTAGAGGTCGGGAATTCAAACCATTTTTTATATAGAAAAATGAATTTAGTTAATATTTTATCTCTTAATTAGATTCGTTCGACGAGCATGGAAATTAGTCTGAGTATGGTATGATTTAAAATTGCCTCATATAGTTATGACATGCTCAGAATATAACGTAATGTAACTAAAAAAATGTGAGCCATTCAATTACTCTGTCTATTATCCCATTCTTGTCACCTGTTGTTGTCGCGGATGTTGCCCTGAAAGGAATGGATTGAATGCTATTTGGAAGTTTCTTTAAAAATTTTTGATTCTTTCAAAAAAAAAAAAAAAAAAAAAAAGAAGAAGAAGAAACCATAATTTTTATTCTTTTCAATTCTATTCATTTTTTTTTCTAGTAAAATCAAAATATGTGTTGAGAATTTTACTCACTGAATCCAACTATCATTTTCCTAAACCGCCTTATCCCTTGCTGGAAGGGTTGAAATAATGCATATTCTTCTTATAAGATCATATCAAACTTTATTTTATATAATTGCGTAGCTATTAGCACCATATTTTGAATGTTTCCACGACAGGATGCATCTGTCATCAATTGCTCAACATGTTTTCAATGATATATACCAAAACTAGTTCTGATACAAATTCTTAGGATCAGACGCTTGACACCATAGCTTTAATTTCGATTACAATTTTGATGGATCTCAAAGCTACACTATACTTACTTCCTATTAGGTCTCGAATCGAGCAGGGGTTGAACTCGGTCTGACCCAGCCGACACTCAACAATCCATCTCCCAGCAGCATGGGTCTCGAATCGAGCAACTCGGCCTAACCCGACCGACGCTCAACAATCCCTCTCCCAGCAGCATGCTTGATCCCATCCAGGACTAGACTCTGATACTCCATAGCATTGATTCAAAACCATGACCTCGGCTCTAATGCCAATTGATGGTTCTCAACGTTGCATTATGTTTGCTTCCCAGTTGGTCACTCATCATGGTTATCTGGTTGACATTCTTTCTTGAAACCAATTGGTGATAAGTAGATGGACATTAACCATTTAACCAAATCCCTCCTTGGTAAGCCCGAACGCCATGTCTCGAATTGAGTAGAGGCTGAACTCGGTCGACCCAAGCGACGACCAACAAATTCTTGCAACGAAAGGTGGATTCGGTCACCCCATGCCTGGCAGGATTGTGGCGAAGTAAATCATGGTGATTCAACGAATCAACAGAGACTAGACTTTTGCTCACTTTGCACAAGAACCCCCCCCCCCCTCCCCCCTCCCCCCTCATTTTAAGATGTTGCTCCTACACTGTCGCGGGTGAGACTCAATTGACCATTGATCTCTTGTAACAAATTTCAGACCGATTGAGATATGCCCATGCGGACTCAATTACAAATCTTATTACACTGTTTGAATGCATCCATGCATAAATTTACCGTGTGCATGAAATTTTTAAATAAGCAAAGGACAATTGACATAGGTTATCTGCATCTTTCATCGAAATACTCTATTACTTTAAAAAAGTAGATCACATATCATATTATCACAATTACAATTTATCATTATTTTATGCATCTTTACAATACCAACTTTATTTTAAATAATAATAGTAATAAAAAAAAGTATTGAAATAAAAGAGGGTAAGATGGGCTATTTTGAAGTCTGGAATGACTTGGTCTATCATGCTGTTTCCAATGTGTGGTACTCTGTCATTGTCAATGGGGTCAAAAAGGGTTTCTTTACCTCGTCCTGTGGATTGAGGCAAGGAGACCCACTCTCCCCTAGTCTTTTCATAATTGCTGCAGAAGTCCTCTCTACGTTCCTCGCCCGAGTCCATCAGGACGAGGCTATCCCTAGATTCTCCCAGCCTCCTGGTACTCCTCATATTCATCACTTAGCCTACGCTGACGATGTTATTATTTTTAGTACTGGGAGACAGGGGGCAATCTGCAAAGTCATTCGTGCTTTAAAAGATTACGAAGGGATTTCTGGCCAAATGGTCAGTTTTCCTAAGAGTGCTTTTTATATGCATCCTGACACCTCGGGTCGGGTGATTCGTAGGATTTGGGATATCACTAGATGCATTCATAGATCCTTCCCTTTCACCTATCTTGGGTGCCCTATTTATGTGAGGAGGAAGAAGTGCGTTTGTTTTTCATCTGTGGTGGACAAGGTAAAGGCCAAATGCCTTGGGTGGCAGCGTCGGCTACTATCTAAGGGGGGGGGGGGGGGGGAGGGGAATCAATCTTAATTACTTTTGTTTTGCAGGCTATTCCTTTACATCTTTTTGCAGCTTGTGCCCCTCCTAAGCAGGTTATTCGTGACCTGGAGCGATGTTTTGCCGCCTTTTTTTGGAGGCAGTCGGGAGGTGCACGCTACAATTGGGCTTCATGGAAAACGCTCTCCCTACCTAAAAAAGAGGGTGGAGTGGGATTCCTTGACCTTGACTTGATGGTGCGGGCATCTAGTGCGAAGCTTTGGTGGAATTTCCGCAAGGTGTATTCCCTGTGGGGAAATTTCATGACTGCTAAGTACTGCAGTCGAGTTCACCCGGTGGCGAAACGAGCGCGAACCTCCGATTCACACACTTGGAAGCTAATGCTCAGCGTCAGGAATGAGGTAGAGGCAGTCTTAGGATGGCGCCTGACTCACGGGGATGTTAATCTCTGGTGGGATAATTAGTCCGGCATCGGCACACTAGGATGCCTTTACCCCTTCCCGGGGGTTGAGTACTCTGGTGATCTATTGTCTGACTTCATTCAGGACGGAGAGTTATACCTATCGGCGTATGATGACCTTCTGCCACCTGGGTTGGAGGTTGACATGTCCCGTCTGGGTCAAAGAGTAGCTGACATCCCTATTTGGCGGGTGGCTACGGACGGTTTGTTTTCTTTTTCCTCTGCAAAATCTTTATTCAGACCTGAACCGGTGCAGTCAGATCCTCTTTTCAGTGCATGTTGGCATAAGCATTTGCCCTTTAAGGTGTCATTTCTTGCTTGGCGTGTGTTAAGGGGTCGCTTGCCCACTGATGATGCCATGGCTAGATTTGGGCGCCTTATTGTTTCCAGATGCTGGTGCTGCAATAACCCTGTTAGGGAAACTATTGATCACATCTTTTATGCGAGGGACACTGCTAGGGCTGTATGGGGATTTTTTATGGGATCACTAGGCTTGCGATTCAGTCATCGGGGTCTATGGACGCTCTTGACTGGGTGGAAGCGGGTGGTTTCACATAACCGTCTTGTTGCTTTTGTTATTTGCAGGTTGCCTTATCTTATCCTTTGGGAGTTATGGAAGCACAGGAACACATACTTACATGGCAGAGGGCCGCCGAGTGTACCTCGAGTGGTGTATGGCGTTGCCAAAGGGGTGGCAGAATGTCTCTTTAGGCGATGGCCGCAGGAACACATTTTTCCACCTAATTGGCCGGTCATTCTGTCCTACATAGATTCCACTGTACCGCGACGCGTGGTTCGCGCTGTTAGATGGGATCCCCCTCCAGATGGTTCTATAAAACTCAATTTTTCATATTCTGAGTCGTTGGGTGGGACTGCCGCCTTGGTACGTAATGGGGGGGGGGGGGGTGGTTTCTGCTACGGCCTAGCCATTTCGGTAGTCGACGGATTTCGGGACTTTTTCCATGGTATGCACCGCTCTCTTGAATGGTGTTTATCCGAGGGTTTTAGGTCCTTGGTCTTAGAGTCTGTATTGCCTGAGCTTAAGGGTTATGTAGACCCCACCGCACCTAGTCCATGGGTCTTTGACTCTGAAGTGTCACGACTCCGGTTTCTTTGTTCCTGTGCATTTGTTTCTGTTCTTCAGTGTTTGCCGCAGGGTAACCTCCCGGTGGCTGCATTGGCAGATTCGGTTGGGGATAAGGATAGGGAGTTTATTTTCCGTAATTTGTCAAACTTACCGCCAAGGGTGCGTGCGTTGCTTGTTCATGATGATATCCCATCGGTGGTTTTTGATGATTATGACCCGCCTTGAACTATGGTTTTGCTCTTGATGAATTGTATCACATTTTAAAACAGAAAAAAAAAAAAAAAGAAAACGAGAAAGTGAGGAAAATGGAAAAGGCAATTATAAAGAAAAATTGAAATGAAGGGAAAGTACTACTTAGAGGCAATGATAGTTTGACCTTGTGCCAAGCCTAGCCTCAACAACGTAGGTGTTAGCGGTACAAGAGACACCCTAGTCCGGGCTGAACGGTGGCCGGGCAGGATCTATCAAATCCGTTGACCTAGTCAGGCTTGCTGCTGGCCCATAGTAGCTAATCCCATTAGGGTTTTGGTTACTGTTCGTTGCTGGTGCTGAGAGGAGATTGGCTGGCCTGTTTTGCGTGGGCCTGCGTGCTTGTATTTTTGGCATGCGAGCCGTGTCTCTATTTTCCTTATTTATCTTTCATTTATTTCTTTAGCGGAGATATTTCTAGACTTGTACTATTATTTCATGTTTTATTGTTTTCTGCTGGGCTAGTTGAGTAGTTGGCCTTGCCGGCATAGGGCGTAGGGGGCTTTCCAACTGGGGGTTTTCTCTTTCTGCTCTGTGCTCTCTGTGCCTGTCCTGCTTCTATCTGTGGCTGTGTGTTTCGCGGGATTTAATTCCTGAGTTTCATGCATAGCATATACTCTGAGGTGGGAGTGCTCTCTTAGTCTGCTTTAAATATCTTGCTTGAGTTGGCGATTGGAAGAAAAGGCTGGTTGTTATATAAAGGGTTGGGTGGGTGTGAGGTGGGCTTCTGGTGCTTAGCATATATACTATTGCTTCTGTGGATGGCCGTACAGGTTCCCCGGGCTAAAATACAGTACGCTGTACCGAGGGAGCTGGTCTAACGCTTAAGGGTGATATATATGTTGGCATCAGTGGTTAGGGAGCCATCGCTTGGGACTTTGGGCTGTTGAAGCCCTCTGTGATAAAATGCAGAGCTCTGTACGTACGAGGGTGGCCTGGGTTCCAAGGGTGGGTGGAGGTGAGAACCATTGCTCATCTGGCGGACTATTCATGGTCCCCCCCGGATAAAAATGCAGAGATCTGTACCGGAGGGGATCTGTCCAACGCATGAGGGTGGTAGGGTTTCGGGAGGCTGGTTTCATTGCTTCTGTGGATGGTCACATAGGTCCCCTCGGATAAAAATGCAGAGCTCTGTACCTCGGGGGATCGACCTGATGCTTGAGGGTGAAACTAGTCCTTCTTTAGGTTTGGAGCACCGTTCTCACCCCTTTGTGTAGGGCATGACGCCCAGGAATTGTCCAGCTTTGCATGTGGTACAGGTGGTTTGTAAAATGGGTGTTGGGCCCACTTGGTGGTTTAGAGTTTATCTCCTTTATTAGTTAGCCTTAGGCCTCTTTACTTTATTCTTTATCTTTTTGTAGCCTTGGTCATTTTTGGGCCTTGGCAAGACGTTGTTTTGATTTTTTAATAAGAGTTCCTTTCTTTAAAAAAAAAAAAAAGAAATAAAATATTGGGTCTGGCAAAGTGAGAGTTGGCATTGGCTGGCAATAAATACATTTGAAAGGCGTGCAAAATAATTGACATTTATTTTTTAACTTTTAAAAAAAAATCTGGAGTGATAATACCATATTAGAATATTAGATTGCAATTCCACTCCATTGTTGTGATGCAAAATAAATGATATTGTCCCTTACAAGAAGAGTGGTCCAAGCAACTTACTTTCCACATGCAAAAATTACACTCCTTGAATTATATTGATCCAAAAATTTTGAGCCCCAGTTTCACTCTCCAGAAGCAGTCTATTGGTCTATTTCCTTATTAATTACTTCAAATTGTTAATAAATCTTTAAAGAAAATTATAATTTATCCCCTCCTATAATATGTCGATTATCAAAGTCACTCATAAATTATTAGTGGTGTAAATGTTATATTTCGATTTTTAAAATGGTACATATATTGCCCCTCCCGTACTATACGGGAGGGGCTATATATGTACCATTTTGAAAATTGAGGGGCAACATTTACAATACGGGAGGACAATATATGTCGTACCGTTTTAAAAATTGAGGGGCACATTTACACCACTAATAATTCAGAAGTGACATTGATAATTGGCATATTATGAATACATAAATTACAAAATTTCCCAAATCTTTATTTCAGCTACCAAGAATTGATTTGTTCATAGATATTTGTCCAACTAATTTTTCACGTGAAAAAAATGACAGAGTATATTGTTAAGGACCACTCTACTATTCCAGCAAGGGATAAGGTTTTACCCTTCCACGCCACGACTCTAGCTTCAAAATTAAATCAAGCAAGTTCTAAAATGAAATATTATTCACATTTGAATTGTTTAGTACATTCAATGCCCATATATGTAGCTACAAATATACTAATAATAAGTCTTTCGTTTTACAAGATTAAATTTCATCAGGAGTAGTTTATTAATTTTCTTAATTTGAGCAGGTAAATTATGAAAAACCTAAATTGATTAACCCGATTCTTATTGCCTTTTTTGCTTGCTAAGGCCAAAATTAAAGCTAAAGTTTATACAGTTCAATTCATAGCATATGATAGTGGTTGTGATCGAGTTTTCCTCATCATCTAAAAAAATAACAAATCTTTCAAATTGTAGGAGCATGTAAGAAAAGCTAGAATAAATTGTGGTTGTCGCCAAGCACCTTATGCTCAGATGACACTCGAGTTGGACTCCCATATGGGCAATCGTTATGCCTTGGACCCGTGTCCAGCATGCTTGCTGGACACGGGTAACAGTGCCGTTAGGCACTGTTATCTCCTTTTTTTTTTTTTTTTTTTTTTTTTTTTTTTTAATTTCAGATCACTTTGTTATAGAAGTATATGTTCATAATTTTATTACTATATGTTAATAACTATACATTCATAACTCTATAACTGTACATTCATAACTCTATAACTGTACATTCATAACTTCATAACTGTACATTCATAACTCCATAATTGTACATTCATAATTTTCGAAGCTCTATGTTCACAATTTTAGAGCTCTATGTTCATAATTTTATCACTATATGTTCATAATTGTAAGTTCATAATGTTAGAACTCTTTGTTCATAATTCGATCAATAACTGTACATTCATAATTCCATAACTGTAGATTCATAATCTCATAACTGTAGATTCATAACTCCATAACTGTAGATTCATAACTCTATAACTGTACATTCATAATCTTCGAAGCTCTATATTCACAATTTTAAAGCTCCATGGTCATAATTTTATCACTATATATGTTCATAATTGTAAGTTCATAATGTTAGAGCTCTGTGTTCATAATTTCATAATTGCATAACTGTACATTCATAACGGCATAACTGTACATTCATAATCAAAAAAAAAAAATAACGCCGTTAACGGCAAAACACGGGCGATTTTTTTTTTTTTTAACTAAATGACGCGTTTTTTTTTAAAAACGACGTCGTTTTGGGCCCGTGTCCACAATTCAATGTGGACACGGGTCCAGAGCATAATTTGCCCCATATGGGAGGTTGTGACTTCCGACCACTTTCAGGTGGTCGGAAATTTCATAATTTCTGAGATTGAATTTGAGCCGTGTTTTCAAAATTTCATGTAGACAAATTTGTTTTGGCCCCTCCCCTCCCCTCAGCCAATACTAATTCACGATTAAGTTGATAGAAAAAAGGAGAAAGTAAAGGCAGAAGAATATTATGGATATGTGAAAAACGTGTATCCTTTACCAGTGTTAATATTTGTAATTTCATAGACAAACTTACATATACTTATTACCTTCATTCTCTATAAAAGGGACCTCCAAGTCATCCTAGAATCCTCACCAAATCAAAATTGCTCATTTTCAATCTGCCTTTTGCTTTCCTTCTGAACTATCATCCAAGAAATCATGGCAGCTGCAATTCCTATGGATAAGATAGCTGGACCATTTGGATTCAGCGGTGGAGATTTTTGGAGTTTCCGACCTGTAAACAAGATAAACCAGATACTCATTCATTATTCTGGAGACTCTGGTGACAACCCCATTGCCCTAACTTTTTCTAGCACTAGAGATGATGGTTCAAAGGATACAATCAAAGTAGGAGGAGCAGGACCAGAACGCATCATTAAGACTGACATGGTTATACGTTTAATTTTATACATTTTAATTTAATTTTTCATTTGTGACTTATATGCTAGAAGTTGCTTCTCTTATTAATGAGCTTATTACTAACTATAAATGTATTTAAATTAGAGCTAATTATTTTTTTGCCTTATTCATGACATGTATAACAGGTGAATATTGATAACGCGGATGAACACTTGGAACATATAAGTGGAACATTTGGAATTCACTTGGACGTCAAAGTCCTACGTTCAATAAAGTTCACTACCAATTTGAAAGACTACGGGCCTTTTGGCCACACTGATGGAGAGACATTCCATCCCGTGCATGTCGTTCCCAATAAGATTGTTGGATTCCTTGGTCGCTCTGGATTCTATATTGATGCTATTGGTACTTATAATTCTGATAAGTGATTATATTATCGATCTATCGGCACTCTCAAGCTTAAGTAATGCTCCATTGGAACATGTCTATGTGTGTTGTTTGTTGAATAAGTTCCAAATGGTTTGAATAATGTTGTATTTATGCTTTGCTTGTTTTATGTTTGTCAAATGTGCTCTCATGTATGAGCATATTAATAAATAAAGTTGTTTTTATACTTTGCTCTTTAATAATATATGTGTCTTCAATCAATATTTTTATTGTAAAAAAATGACTGAAAATTAAAAATAAAATGTAAAATCACCCTTATGAAACCAAGTGATTACTGTAATTTGGGGCAAACAAATAATACCCGGAGTATTCGGGTTGTCGAACCACAGAGAGGTGGTGTACTAATCACTAGCTACTAGGTTACTCATATGAAACTAGTCCGAACAAAACTTGAAGGTTGATTGATTGCATAAAATAACAAGCAGAACAAAATAAGTAGCAAGGTTTTGTAGACAATAGAGCAAAATAGGATTCTTGGGATCACAATGTTTAATCACCTAGTGCCAATTAACGTTTGTAATATTTGGTTTGGAATTAAGATTTGTATGGGAATGCAAAGTGGAATCGAATTACTCCTGTAATCTCTATTCCTAGTGAATTTCCACTCCCATGGCTTAAACACCCAATAAGATCAAAGATCAGCATTCAATTATTCCTAATTACTACCATCTCCCGATGAGCAATAATCTAGAATAAACTTCCCCTAATAAGTTCCCCTTTCCCAAGGACCAACCATTAGGTGCAATCGTGTGTGCCCTAATTTATGCCCCAACTCCCATTGGTGACACAAACATGACTGTGAAGCTAGTAATTTAGGCCTTTAACTACCAACAACAACATATTAAAACAAGATTGCAACACAAATCATAAAACCAAGCATAAATATATTACGAAATTAACGAACTAGGCACATAGGTTCATAAACAAATTCACCCAAAAATCCCTAAGGAACTTAGCCGAGCATGGCTAAATTATACATAGCAAATATGAATAAAGGATTACAAATCATCAGAAGAGTACAAGAATTAACCAAGCGATTCTCCCAAATCTCCCTGGCTTCCTCCTTGCTTCCAAAGACGACTTGAGCCTCTTGATTTCTCTCTTTCTTGTCTACAAAGAACTCTAAAAATCTCTCGGTCTCGGTCTCCAAGAATCTCTGAATTCTCTCCGCCCCCCTTATTAGGGTTGAGGAATGAGGGATTTTATAGTGGATACAAAGTTGAGATGAAATAGGAATCTTGTACCAAATTGGACTCAAATTCTAATTCCTATATTTAAATAAAGAAATTGTCGTCTTTAATGATATTTAGAATTTGGAAGATTCCTTGAATTGCTAACTTTTAATATGGAGATATGAGCCTTGAAATCCGCGCAATTGATATTAGGAAAAGAGATCTCGCGCTTGTATTGAATTTTGCCAGCTGCGCCACATTAAGCGTCTGTTTTTTTTATCCGCGCCACTTTAGGCGTCTGTTTTTATCCCAGAAACAGACGCATATTCGACGCGTCGAGACTTCCTGTGCGCGAATTGATTAGCTACTGGAAAATTTCGACGTGTCGAGCCATTGGCTCGACGCGTCGAGTCCACTGGGTCCCGAACTCATCCAAAATTGCTCCAAACTCATCCTTGAACTCCCCTTGGTCATATCTTTGACCTAAAATGGTTCAAAAACACTAACAAACACCGTAAAATATTCAAAACAAGTGCGAACCATAATTAAATGATAATAGCAAGGAAAACATGTATTAAATAAGCAAAATTAAAGAGCTTAATTACTGTGATGATTCAAAATAACCATAAAAACAAGCACAGATGTGATAACATCACCAAGACAAACTAAATTTGCACACCCAATGTAAAACTAAAGTTATGCTATACACTTACTCAAGGATTCCACAGAACAAATTCCATACCATAGAACCTATACTAACATCCTTAATAATAGATCTTACTCCCAAGAGCAGTATATTAACCTTATTTGAATCGGTCAGTTATAAACAATCAAAAAAATAAAAATTCAGATTGCCGGTATTAATCACCTCCTTGACACTCTTACGAACTCCATTGAACAATCTATTGTTCCCAGCCTTCCACAACTCCCATATGGTATAGCAAAATTTTATCCCCAACTCGTCCCATCATTGAGTCACGTACTCCTGACAAGGGCAATTATCCTTAACGATCCAGGACTGAATCGGGGTGAATTTGTCAGAACTAAAGGACGTCGGACTAAGTGTTCACGGCCAACAATCACGTGCCGCCTTACAGTCCCGGAAAAGATGATCGAGGCTATCTGCATCTTGAATTGGTTTCAAATGGTTTGAATAATGTTGTGTTTACTTGTTTTATATTTTTAAAATATGTTCTGATGTATGAGATGTTGACCAATCCTTGTATGTATAGAATAATGAATAAAGTTATTTTTATGCTTTGCTCTTGTGTCCAAAATCTACCCCTTCTGTGGTAAAAAATGACTGAAAAAAGAAAATGTAAAATCACCCTTATAAAACCAAGACAAACTATTAAACTGCAACAGCCAAAGTAAAACTAAAGTTAAGCTTATATATACACTTAGTCTAAGGGTTCCAAAGTACATTAAAAGTATGAATTCTGTATCTCACGAGTATATATATGTATTGTGTTATGATTTCTTGTCTCTTGTGTTATAAAATTATGTACCTCGCGAGTATGAATTATGTACCTCGTCATTTCTATCCAGAGTTGTGAACCCTGGTTCTTGTGTATGCGTTTTATGTTGTGACTTTTTGTGTCGTGCGTTATAAAATTTTGAACATTAAAAGTATGAATTCTGTACCTGGAAAAAATTAGTATTTCTGTCTGATGTTATGAATTTTTGTGTCTTGTAATAGGAATATTATCACAATATATGGTAGTTTACTCTATCAATAATATTTATTTTAGAAAAAAAAAATCTAAAGTGATAATACCAAATCAAATTGCAATTCCACTCCATTGTTGTGATGCAAATGATCTTGTCCCTTACAAGAAGAGTGGTCCAAGAAACATACTTTCTTCGTGCAAAAATTACACACCTTGTATTATATTGGCCAAAAATTTATGAAAGGTGTCCTCCTACGTAAATACGGAGTAAAAAACAATATGGTGAGGCATTCAATCACTCTCTTCATTATCCCATTTTTGTCTCATCCTGTTGTCCTGAAAGGAATGAATTGAATGCTTTTTGGAATTATTATTGTTAAATTTAGTTTATGTCAGTTTTGTACTGCTTTCTCAACCTACTGAAGTACAAAGAGTCAATACCATCTCCATTGAGGCTCAAATTCGCAACCTTTCATATGGGAGAGCAAATTTGGTGTCACTAGATCACAAGGTCATTGACATTATTATTACATTGGCATATAATTTGGGTATTCTTATCATTTAAGACTTCAACATGAGTTGCTCCATTTATTTGGGAAAAGGTTATCCTAATGTTGTTTAAATATATATATAACATTATTTCAAAAGGCTGAACCCCAACCCTAACATATATATAACATACATATACGAATAGAGTTTCAAATTGCAATTATGTTGGGTGGAGGCCTGCAGGATCGAACCCAGGAACTATTAAAATATGATACTGACTACTACACAAGTATAAGAAAATAAAATTTTGCATTCCCTACTAACGGTACTTCTTTACATAATAGTAAATGTTTGACCTCATTATATTAAAAATTATTGTTGTATAAGTAAGTTAATTTTTTTTTTTTTCCTTCTTGCAGATCACAATGTTGTACCCTTTAGAGCATAATCTTGTGCTTTACAGCACACATTGTTTACCTGTTAGAGCATATTGTTGAGCCTTCCAGAGCATATATATTGTCGTGCCTTCTAGAGCACATTTTGTGCCTTCGAAGTGCATATTGTTTTGCCTTAACGTACATATTGTTGAGTTTTTTAGAGCACATTGTTGTGCCTTCGAAGTGCATATTGTTTTGCCTTGGACTACACATGGTTGATCCTTCCAGAGCACATAACGACATGATATACATTTAATTTTTACATCTTAATTTAATTTATTGCTCGTGATATATATGTTCAAATTAAAGTTTAATTTCTTTCTATCCTAAATACTAATATGTATTTAACTAACTTTTCTTGATTCATGACATTTATAAATAGGTATTTGTTGATGGCGAGCGTGAAAACTTGATGGGGATAAGCAGAACGTTTGGAACTTTCATAGATACGGGGTTCAGTGTCTTACAATCAATAAACATTACAACCAATTAATCAAAGAGAATACAGTTCGTATAGCCCCAATGTTGGAGCACCATTTACCATCCAAGCTCCGAATGGCAACAAGATTGTTGAATTCTTTGGTCGATTTGGAATATATGTTGATGCTATTGGTATTTATCATACATGGGCGTGATTATTTCGTCACCCTCAAGTGTAATTTAATACACCAATTAGGTTTTTGGTTTCATTTGTCAAAAATCATTTTGAAAAAAAAAAAAAAAAATCTAATAGTGATGTGACTCAACTAATCAACAAAGACTAGACCTTTGCTTACTGTGCACAAGGATCCCCTCTTATTTTGAGATGTTGCTCTACACTGCAGCTGGTGAGACTCAATCGACTATTGATCTTTTGTGACAAATTTCACTTCTGTGACCGAGATGCCCATGCGTGCCCTAATACAAATCTTATTACATTGTTTGAATACCTCCCTAGTTTTACCGTGCATGAAATTTTTAAATAAGCAAAGGAGAATTGTCATAGGTTATGTGCATCTTTGATCGAAATACTCTATTACTTTCAAAAAGTAGATCACATATCATATTATCACATTTACAATTTATCATTATTTTTCTGCATCTCCACAATACCAATTTATTTTAAACAATAGTAATAAAAAAAGTATTTAAACAAAATATTTGATCTGGAAACAGGGATTAGTCTCAGTATAGTATGAGCTAAGGTGCCTACTACTGTTAAGGTCGGGCCTACTCATGACATCTCGTGATCTAACAAAAAAAAATATTTGGTCTGTAATAAATACATTTGAAAGGCTTGCAAAATAATTGACATTTTTTAAAAAAAAATTAAATAAAGTGATAATACCATATTAGATTGCAATTACACTCCATTATTGTGATGCAAATTAAATGATCTTGTCCCTTACAAGATTTGTAAAAGCCTTATTGA